TGGTGTAATAGCCAATCATTTTTTTGTTCTTATGGAAAAGCCGGGAGGTAGGAGTTCAATTACGACATTTACAACGACGTTTGCGCAGCTATTATTTAATAATACGAGTAATAAAAAAACCCGGACCGCTTCAAAAACCCGCCCGGACGCCCCCGGACGTCTTCAAAACTAGGACAAATCCGGGGAAATCCGGACGGATGGCAGCCCTAATCCTGCCGTATATATTGGATAACGGCTCTTTTTCGATCGGGAAAACCTACCTTAGATTAAACTATAAATTCTTCAATATAGTTCGCGAATATTAGTAAGTATACTATCGAATCTCGATGACTCGAATCTCAATGGAAAAACTAAACTCTTCGAGTTACAAAATTTTCGACTTATCGAAATTCGAGTAAAAGAGGGTTAACATATGAAAATTAGACTTACGGCTTTGTTCATAATTTTCCGATTATAATGGCTTTTAAAGGAAAAAAAATTCAATATTTGACAGTGAATTATTTATTGCACACATATAATAAATGTAATCGTAAAACAAATACCAAACTATTACTCATGGTTACACATAGCAACCTCGAATTATAGAGGCAGCTACAATAATAATTCGATTTATAGGTACAGGTGAACTTTGACTTGTAGAGGTCACTTTAAATTCGAGAGTTGCAGAGGTAAAATAATTAATATATCTAAATATCTGACTCTAAATAATGTATGTTAAGGTAGGTCTTATTTCGACTTATAGAGATTTTCCGCAGTGAAGCGGAAGGGAATGAACAAAATTTTCGGCTTATAGAGATTTTCAACTGCATAATATATAGAATTATTTTTTTATTACTTAAACTATCATAAGTTTGAAAATATCGTTGCGATATTTTAAGGTAAGATAAATATAATTTATAATTATATAAAAAAAAATATATATATATATCTTAATAAATATATTATATATATATATATATATATATATATATACATATATATATATATTTCACCTGTTTTAGTCTCCAATGTCAGGAGATACGAGCGTTTATCGAATCTCTGGAGCGAAACTGCTCGGGACAATTCGTTCCCGGGGTCGTTCCTCAAACATCGGGAGTCGTTCCACGGCGCGACGCTTCCGATTTCCGCGGCTAATCAGCCGGGATTCTTAGATTTGGATGCCGTATGCCGACGGCGTAGTCGGCGCTACGTGGCGAGGGAATAGTAATTTCCTAGATTTAATTAACCAATTAGCACATGTCGTCGGGCGCGGCTCGGCGCGGGCGCCGCGCTTAACCGAGTCACGTAAACAAGCAGCGCTCTACGTCTCGGATCTCGGGGACGATTCCAATCGCGGCAAACGATGTTACGCAATACGTCGGATCGGGAATCAAGTGGTTAACGCGAATATTTAGCCGACTGCGAACAATCGCGAGCCGAATACGCAATGTCGTCAAAATGCGTACTTCAATGATGAATGCAAGAGATACATTCTGAAAGGACACACTCTAGGAACATGATGATGCTTCATTAAATCAGATTTAAATATACTAAATATTCTATGTATATAATAATGATGGTGCAGATTATAATAGACAAAACTTTTGTATAAATGTATTAGATTTAAATAAAATTGTCAAAATTGTAAATTTGTATAGAACAGAGAGAAAGAAATATTATGATTAAAATAAGATATGTATAAGAATGTATATTATCAAAAGCGACTTTATGCCCGCAAATTTATATTTAGATATCCCTTAATATTTATTAAATAAGGTAATTATTTAATATAATTAATATTTAATCATTATATTTGTATAATATAATTACATAATTAATATTTTATAATTATTCTTAAGTACATTAATGCAAATACACGTTTAGTATCTTTCTTTATTAAATATCTTTAATATTTACGTTTAGATATTCTTTAATATATATTTTAATATATACTTAGTACGAAAGAGACGAATGATAATAAAAATTAATATTTAATCCAAATATGTATTATTATTGTCATTATCGAATTATACATTTTTACTTTTGTCGAGCAACCTGCTTTGGAGATATTGCTCCATAACTATAATATGTCAATATTATAATTTTATCTGAATTTATCGTAGTGAATCGAATTTATCATGGAGAAGAATTTAATTTCCAATCATCGTTATTGTTGTTGCTCTTTCAGCGATTAGCTTCACATTGAAATCACTACTATGTAAATTTCATAATACTTGTTATTTCCCATAGAATTTTATTTTTGAATAAACAATTTATATATAATTAGAACACACTTTAGTCGGAGGAATAAATTACATCACACGCACAGCGAAATTTGTGTTAAATTCATTAAGCATTAAATTTTAGCGTTCTAATATAACGTCCGAATTAAACGATTTTAACGAACATTACATTTACTTAATTCAATATGTGAGCAATGTGTACAGATTCAGCGAGTAACAAAAGCGAAAATATAAATACCGTAATTATATGACAGTGTGTAAGATAAGGGCGAGGATTACGAGACCCGCCCACCATTCATCCATCTTCCATAAACAAAAACAACAACAGCTTGCAACTTCGTGCGTATTACCGACTTATCGCCCCTCGCTTATCCATCTTGCTTCCATCGTCCTCGTTGTTCACTCTGTGAAGATCTAATCCGTATAATAGTCGGGAGAGCAAATTTTGTGCGCGGTATATCGATGCGCGATACGCAGTTAAAAATGCGAGATGCATATCCAGCTACAACCGCATTAATTAGATTTGATGTTTAAAATATAAATACATTTATGTAAAATAAGATTTATCTTATTTTTTATCCTATAATATTATTATCAAATTGCCCTATTTGTGATTTTTTTCAAATATGTTTTTTCTATATCAGTCGAAAACACTGCTCTTTTATTATAGCGTTCAACAGGAAAAGATTAAAAAATTTTTTTTTCATGTAATTGATAATACGCGATCCTGAATTCCTCAGTTGTTCGCGATATCCCGCGTAAATTCGCGATTTCGTGAAAATGATTTGAATTCAATATCAAAGTCAATCCCCTCTTTTGTAATACTAATATCACGTTTTTCATTTCCTGCAATAAAGCCCGCACTTAAAGGTCATAAATTTAATTTTCCGAATGCGTGGCACGCGCGAACGTGTATAGCGACGTTACGTGAGCGATACACGCGTACGATTGCGATTGTGATTCAGCGAGACTATGCGTTCGGGCGACTATTGGATTCCCATTATTAAGGTTTCCATCGATACGTGCCTCTTTCCGTCGGACCCGTGCGCGATATCGTCGTATCTTTGAGCTTAAAGATCAACGTTTCGCATTTGCACGCGCAAAGCGAAAGTTTAAAAAACTTAGCAATATCTACGTGACCTACACGGAAAGAACAATTTTGCTGAATCCAGACCTGAAAATAATCTTTACTCAATAATCAAAATAATTTTGTGCGAAAGTCAAAGTGATTGCTAGAAGATCAAAACGTTTTATAGCAATGTTTATCAGTTTTAACATTTCAACAAATTATTTTTATTCAACAAAAAATTATTTTCAGATCTATTTTTAGCAAAATTTTTAGACCTTTTAACAAAATCGTTCTTTCCGTGTATATTTAATCGCTACTAATTTAAAAACTTTTATAGCTTCAACATTTTCAAATATTATAAGATTTCCGTCTCCAAATTATCTTAAAAACACGTTCTTAAGAGATTTCGAATCGCAACGTTGAGACAAAAAAAATAAACTGGGAGAAAATTCTTTGGTAATTCGTATTTCCCTCTATCGATCTTCTACGCAATAGATATTTTAATAAAAGTAAAAAATGTTATACCTTAATTATATTTTTTTCAAAGTTGAAGAATATTATATACATCAAATGCAGATTATGAATCGGTGCTTTACACCTCGGTTTATGAAGAGCGGCGAGCGCGATCTCTTTTCATTTGCGCCGGCTGCATACCGGCCGAATTGTCGTCCGCGCGATTTATTAAAAGCTGGGGAAGCTGCCACACTGTATTAATCCGCCATTCTCATAGTCCTCGAAATATCCGCTATTACGACCCTTTGAGGCCCGCCGCGCGAGCACTCGCAATAAATCGCGCGTTCCGCGGACGGCCCGTGAACGAGGCGGAGGGGGATAAATTATTCCCCGCCGACTTTTCGCTTCCGGTATTTACGTGCATGGCTCCGCTTCCCCGCCCGTGTGTTTGCTCGCTCGTCCCGCACGCTTTTCCGTTACGTATTTTCGTGTATCGCCTAATTAAATGCGTTTCCGTACGTTCCCTTTGAGGGGCTCACGCGCAATGCATTCCATCGTCGCGGGAAAGTGGCTTTGACGGAATCAGACCGGACTGATTTCCGAACGGACTGCAATTATCGTTGGATGATAGGTGTAACGATCGTCATTCCAGAGATACCGCATTGTAAAGTAGAAGACTTTGTCATTACTATTTTCCCAGCGAAAACAAGGCATCAAAAGGAACAATAATACGCTTTTGTGTAATTATTTAATTTATATTTTGAATTATTAAAATCGCTACATTAAATCACATTGCTGTTTAAATGTAGAATGTTGTAGACACTTATTATATATTGTTCCGCTCATAACGACTCTTATGTGTCAAATCACCGTTTTAACCGTGGTTGTTGCTCTTTGGTGAAACATTTTACGAAATTAGAGCGCGACAAATTGACGAGCAAATGCAAATGTGGCCAGATGCAAATCGCCGTTCACTTATTCACGGGAGGAGGTGCGCATTAACAATAAACGATAAGCTTTTTCTCGAAGAAATCAGAGCGATGCGGTAACCCCCGTGTAAATCCCCAGGTAAATCCGAATGTATTAGGGAGCCGCGGCGGGGGCGCACGCGGGATGTGGAACGGAATAAAAAATAAAAAAGAAAGACGGTTTGAAGGAAAGCGGGCCGCTCAAAGCGGAATTCCATTTGGCTGTTACATACCTCCGCGAAATCCTCCCGCGGCGTCTCACGGGCGCGACACGCAGCGTGTTGCGAGGCCGATAAATAATGTATCAGCCCGGGCCGCGCGAAACTTCGCGGGGGCGCGCGATGAATCAGCGCGCGTGTGTATGTACACGCGGAAATGGCGCGGTGGCGCCGAGTAACTTGTTGCGATGTAAATCAGACCGGATGAATCGAGACGGAAAACAGAAACTCACGTCGTCTCGCCTGCAAGTTCGCGATATTGCGCGCGAGGAGAGCCGACGCGGCGCGCCGTAGCCGGGATTCCAGCGGGAGATCGCGCGTCCTCGGGAACTCGCTTAAAACCGTTCCCAAGTGAATTTTAAGATGGCGACTCCTAAGAAGCGGTTAACGACATGATTACTACACTGTTGTCGGTGGTACGTATATGTATATAGCGAAACGAAATGAATCACCGAAAAACTGCCACGGAAGACGAAGGCAATTGGATTAACATTTTAATCTAAATTTTGCACGTGATTTTAATTTCACGCGCACAAAAAATAATATCAGTATGATACGCGTTCATCAAGTTATTGAAAATTATGATTTTTGAAGAACAATCATCAATTCCTATGCCTTTTGTCAGAAGCGTGCGATGACTCCTCATCATATTTCTGTGGTGTGCACTATTTACAATTTACACAAGTATATACAGGACCTACAGTTTTAACGCCGATTCCGAACGACCTAATTTAGAGGGGTTCTCACACCGAGAGAAAAATATAGTTAAAATAACCATAATTTAACTATAATTTATAGTAAATTTCGGAAACAATTATAAAATTATAATTAATTTAACCATGCAAATTATAGTTGTTTTAACAATGCACGATGGTTATACATTATGATTGATATTATTATTTCTTCGTTTACTTATTTTTTAGTTATTATTACAATACAAATAATAAGCAAATATTAAGAAAATTGTTATATTTATAATACTATAATTGCAGTTGCATTTACTACATAAAAATATTTATTTAATTTATCATATATATCTCTTGATATTTTACTACATTAATATTTAAAATTATTATAATTTATAGTAAAATTTTTTCGTATTTGGTATAGAACTATACGTATAAGATATTATTACTAACATTATAGTAATA